TCTGCCTTCCTCACGTAAAGGCCGCAAAACTTTTCTAGGCTTAGCGTGCTGTGCAGAGATGAAGTAAAGACTTGCCGGTTTAATCGGGCCTCTCGGTGGTAATTTTGTGGGCAGCTCTAAGCGGTCGCAAATAATGACGAAGGGAAAAGAAGAAAAACTTTTCACGCCCCCGTCTAAGGAAATGTAGTGTTTCATGTCCCAAAATTAAGTACTATTTGCATGGGAGTACTGCGAGATCTAAATTGTGAAGTGGGTGTAAGGCTTCCCCCTGGGAGAGGAGTGCTTTCTGACATGAAGGCCTTCAGTAAAATAGGAAATATGTACCTTTGACTGAATATATCATCAGATAGTAAGTATTAATTTTGAAAAACAACGTTATTAATACTTAATGAGACTCTTACATTCCCACTCACTGGGTGAAGCCTTTCCTATTCCAATAGTTCTATGCTGAAGCGTGTCCTGGAGGACTGAACAACTTTGGAATTTTCTTTTTCTTTGAACAAAGTCTCTTCAACAGTCTCCTAGACTGCTTGCCATGAAGCTCTGGGTTTTTACCCAGAGCAGAACTTTGGCCTGAAATATTTTTCCTGAAGAGTTCCTGAAGAAAGGTGTTCTTCATTTTAATTGACTGCATTGTTGTTTAACCTTAAAGCATTAAATTTCTTCCAATTTTTCTGATTTTCATGTGTTCTGATATTAAGTCAACATTTAAATGTTGGCCAGCATTTGGAGTTGGGATAGCTTAAGGATATGAAGGAATTTTTCTGTCCCCCACCAAGACAGTGGTACCTCTTGCTGAGAATTCCAGCCCTTCACGTGAATCACCTCATGCGGACCATGGAGGCTTCTCAGGACCCAGTATCTGGCAGTTACTGTTCGCCAAATTGTCCTGTAGTTGCTTCAGTCAGGTCAACAACTGGCATGAACTCACTGACACTGATTTGGTTTAATAGTATTACTGAAGCATAACTAAAGCAAGACCATCAAATGACGTAGGAACAGGAAAGCTAAATATCAAGTGAAATATATTAATTAAAAATTTAGAATGACTTATCTAGATTGCTAATAATGAAACATACAGGCATTCGGTTCAAATTAAAAAAATAATTAAATTAATA